CACCATTTGTTATACGGGATATTTAAAAAGCCTTTTTAAAAAAAGAACTTTATTATTAATTAACACTGGTTTAATATAAAATGGAATTAGAAAATAGAATTATAAAATGTATTAACAGGATGGAGACCGGATTGAGACTGACTAACGACTGTCTCACGAATGTCTTCGAACAAGCTCTATCTGATGCGCTTAGCGACTATGAATATGCTGACACAGCTCCTTTGTAGAGAGGTGGAATGCATCAGCCCTAAAGTATACAATATTAATATATAACAGTACGTCGTGGCAGTGTATGGGGGAGGCCTATGTTCAGCAGTGGACTCAAACGGGCTGAAAGGATGATGATGTTGATTTACTTTATTTTTCAAATATTTACCTATACCCTAAGTGTTGATAGTGATAGAGTGGTGATCCATTTACCTCCTTTACCAGACAAAACGCGAAAATAAAATACTTCACGCTGGTTTTATGTAAGACGGTGGTAACTCACCGGATTTCCTGCTCATTTAAGCAAAATCAGTATCTGCTACGTGGTATTTTTTGTTTCAGGTTATTGTTCGATCAGGCGATTGACCTGATGTTAAGTGATAACCACCGCTCATGGACATCTGCAATACCCGTATGATTGCAGATGCGTTGCCACCTTTTAATAAAGTAGGCCCGGCCTCCCTCACTCACCAGAAGAAACGCAAAAGTGTACTAGAAGTGTACTAGTCACTTTTACTTCACGCCGCTCTTCTGTGAGGGTGTGGTACTAACCCGGACAGACCTGCCCATTCGTGCAACCGCTAACACTGTTGCGTGGCCCTACCATCCTATCATCATCGGTTAATCAATGCAAAAATAAGAGATTAAAATTAATTTAAAGATGCATAAACTAGACCGAGCCAATACACCAATCCCGGTCTATTTGAGTTAAAGATATCATATAGATACTATTGATAAATCACAAGTAACAAATTTTGGATTTGAACATAGCTTGCTTAAGTATATTGAATTAAAAGCGAGTGCCCGAGCACTGAGCTATAAGTGCGCCACCGCTAAAATAGCAAGGAAATAAATGAATTATATTTTTTTTAACATCTGGAAACCAAGCTCTCATAAAGTGCAAACATTACTTACAAAGTTTTAGTTATTCGACCAGTCATTTTTTTTATTAATGGAAAACAAAACCAACTTCAGTTATCTCGCTCTGTATTCATTTTATAATTGGTTTTCAGGAGTTCCCTTCGTATCTCCGGAGCCCAAGATCCACAATGCCAATAAAATTCAAAAAAATATGGGACTAAAAAATACAGTCAAATTGAGAACCTCCTCCGTTTTTAAGTCGGTTGAAAAAGATGTTTTTTTTTATGTGAAAGTTGCCAAACGAGCAGACGGTTCACCTGATGTTAAGTGAATACCGCCGCCCATGGACATCTGCTTGTACGCCCGAGAGTTACAGATGCGTTGACAACCTTTTGAAAATTGGGCTCCGGCTACCTCACTCACCATACGAAACGCGAAAGTATTTGTCATACTTCCACTTTACGCTGGTCTTCTGTGAGGTCGTGGTACTTACCCGGACGGGCCTGCCCATTTGTGCAACAGCCGAGGCTGCTACGTGGCTCTACCACCGTTATGTTTATTAAAATAACAGAAATAATAAATTAATAAACAAACTTTTTCTGTTCAAATGCATTTAACCGACAGAAAAGGAATACCAGTTAAAAATAAAAAGCATAACACTAGAGTTACGTAACGCTGAAAACAATTTGCGTATCCTGTGCCCCCGACACACGAGCCTCGCATTAATTGAAATTTCACGAAACCGCAAACTGAACAAATGCGTTAATCACGAAAGTTTTTGATGGCCCGCTGACGCCCTTTCATCGTAATTTACGTCGACGACAAAACTGACGCTATCGAGAAGATTTAAGCTTCGGCTGATATAAAAAGCAAAGTCAGACTATAAAATGTGATTTCCGAAAAGATTTTCTAAGACAATTTTATAAATCTTATGGTATTTAGTTCCAATGTTGTTTTAAAATATTCACATTTCAATTTAGTTCGTTTGT